TAGTAAACAATTATTTAGTTTTTTTGACAATTACAAATTCGTTTTATAATTATTTTTAAGGGAGTGTGCGGAAGGGAGGGTTATAGTTGTTTGTCTCCCTTGATAAATTAAAATCTTTAAGTGGAAAGTGGAAACAAAAATACATCTTCAAATATTTGCTGTATGCTTTTTTTTTGTTTAATAAACATGACGACAAAATTAGGATATCGGTTGTATATATTATATATATATATATATATATATATATATATATATATATATATATATATATATATATATATATACAGACAGAGAGACAGGCAGGCGGGCAGGCCGGCAGGCAAGCAAACAGACATATTATTACATAGTGTATTTACAATATATGTGTAACATGCTATAAATATGTAATAATCTTTTACTACACAGTGTAGCAACTAGTCTATAGTTAATTAAAAGGTTACATTATATTTTTGCAGACGTGGCACTAAATATCTGCCCTTCCAAGCCCTACCTGAAATTCCCCCACCCAGCGTCCTGTGCACTCTACTACGACTGCAGCCAGCCCAGGAGTCGGCCGGGCCTCGCCGCCTGGGAGAACGAGTGCCCCGACCCCCTCCTGTTTGACGAGGCGACCTACACCTGCCGAAAGCGAAACGATGGCGACACGCAGTTTTGTGGGTCAAGGCCAGAACCGAATGGCAAATGTAAGCCAAACTTTTATTCCGTTAACTAAAACAGAATCAACCGAATGGCAAATGTAAGCAAAACTTGTATTGAGTTAACTAAAACAGAATCAACCGAATGGCAAATGTAAGCCAAACTTTTATTCCGTTAACTAAAACAGAATCAACCGAATGGCAAATGTAAGCCAAACTTGTATTCAGTTAACTAAAACAGAATCAACCGAATGGCAAATGTAAGCACAACTTGTATTCAGTTAACTAAAACAGAATCAACCGAATGGCAAATGTAAGCCAAACTTTTATTCAGTTAACTAAAACAGAATCAACCGAATGGCAAATGTAAGTAAAACTTTTATTCAGTTAACTAAAACAGAATCAACCGAATGGCAAATGTAAGGACAACTTGTATTTAGTTAACTAAAACAGAATCAACCGAATGGCAAATGTAAGCCAAACTTTTATTCAGTTAACTAAAACAAAATCAACCGAATGGCAAATGTAAGCAAAACTTTTATTCAGTTGACGAAAAATGAATCAACCCCGGTGTTTCCTTCAGGCTTCCCCACTCCTTCACCCGAACAAAATATAATTAAAATTGACAATATATAAAACAAGTATCAAAGGCCCTGTAATTTAAAATAAATATGATAGTATTAATACACCTTTTAAAACCTGAATAAAATGTTTCTGTTCAGTTGTTTTAAATTCGTCATCATTATTCCTTTGGACCCCTTGTGGGACGCAAACACACCTCTCCATTGTACTCCGTTCTGGGCGATTCCTCCAAGTTGGGTCCATGACATTCCGGCTGCTTCTGCTTCACTGACAGTTGACCTCTTCCATGTTTGTTTTGGTCTACCTACTTTTCTCTCTTTGGGGATTCCAATCTAGTGCCTGATTGGTGATGTTGCTTGTTGATGTCAAATTCATCCCTATTTGCGCTTTTGTATTTCTTTGCCAATACGGTCTTGCACCATTTTCCTCCACTGTTTGCCTTTAGTAATTTTTTCCAGGCCACCTGATATTCAATATACGTCTGAGGCATTGTTTTAAATGCAGATATAATGAGATCACGCATTTGTTTAAAAAAAGATACCAAAACATTCGTTTTTTTTTCCTTTCTTATTGTTTGTCTTAACAAGTATAACATTGATCTGTATTTTACAACGTTGAAAACATTTTTAAAAACTCAATACAATTATGCGTACGTCGATATTATATTCAAGCATGTAATTAAATATGTGCGTGTAACTGCTGCCTGTAATGAGAGTTGTATCGTTTCTAGGTGAGTACAGGCTGGGGTGTACGGACAAGAATTGCACGGGACTGGACGATGGACCCCACTACGACCCCGCCGCCCCCTTCACTGGTAGGTCAGTGCTTTGTTGTGGTCACGTGATCAGGGCGCCGGCAGCATGATCTGCCCCTGGTTACATTCATCCGATCATCGACTTATATACACTGCTTACACAGATTACACATCTTACACATTTTACAAATTTTAGACGCTTTACAAATTTTGCACACTTTACACATTTTACATACTTTACAAATTTTACACACATAACACATCTAACACACATTACACATCTTACACACATTACACATCTTACACATTTTACAAATTTTACACACATTGCACATTTAACACACATTACACATCTAACACACATTACACATCTTTCACATATTACATATTTACATACAATACAAATCTTACACACATTACACAACTTACCAGGTTGAATGTATTTTTAGACAGCCTGATTTAACATAGTTTATGGGTGAGATGAAGTAGAGTTCACCTGTTTCTGTGACCTCAGCATATAAAGAGATAGTGTGGTCAGCACTGTGCCTAGTTCCCATTACTTACCTTAACGTAATTCAGGTACCCAACAGTCTGATTTAGCAGACCCTTGCTATAACGTGTCAGGTATTCAAGAGTCATAACATCTCCTTGACAAAAATATAATAACTTAAGTCAGGTACCCAACAGACTAAAATAACATCCCCTTGACATAAATATAACGTAAGTCAGGTACTAAACATAGCCTGCTTTAGCATCCCTATGATATATTCACAAAAAACAAACTACCAAACAGGGCGAACTCCATCTTCCCAAGCCTACAATGCTACGTCAGTGTAGTTATCCCATATGCCCAGTATAACAATCCAATTATTTGAGCCGTGGCGTCTCTAGGTCAGGGGCCACCTAGGGAGGACACTTATTGTACCATCACGCCTTACTTGTGTTCTGAGGCTTATTGTTTAAGCACCTTGATAAAACAAAAGCATAGATTGTATCGTTAATCGACTCATAGCGTGCAGCTAGTACAAAATATTCATACTCACGGGGGTCAGATTAACTTGATGAATGGATGTACATGTATTAGTTTATTTGTCTTATCTTAAATGAACTTTTACTCAAACCACCAGCAAGCATGATCCTGTTCTCATTAGAATCCAGTGTTTCTTTCATGCATCTCTCCGACAGGGTTGGGTGGGGGCACCATCCAACAAGAGCATGTCCAACCCTCCCCCCCCCCTACTCCCCAAACCCAGGACGAAAGAGAAAAAAAAAATAAAATAGAAAATAAATGCTTTAACCATTGTCCGCAACCTCCATCCCATGGATATTTTAGGGGCCTGTCTACACCCCCTTCATCCCACCCGATAAAAGTATCAGAAAGAAACCCTGTCAGAACCCAATATATTAAATCACGAATCGAACACACATCAGCAACGAGTTATAACCTTCTTTGTTTGTATACTCTCTTAGAGAAATATTACTTGTATACATCAGCTCCTCTCTACAACGAGTTATAACCTTCTATGTATACTCTCTTAGAGAATTATTACTTATGTACATCGGCTACTGTCGACGAGTTTAACCTTCTTTGTTTGTATACTCTCTTAGAGAAATATTACTTGTGTAAGAACGGCTCTGTGAGTGAGAGAAAAACGTGCGAGGAGGATGGCCACATATTTGACGCCCACAAGAGGGAATGTACAGACACCCCAACTGAAGGTAGGCCTCGCTGGTTATTTACTAGACTAGGGTGTTTACTAGACTAGAGTGTTTGGTATTTATAGGAAGGTAGGCTTCGCTGGTTATTTACTAGAGTATTTGGTGTTTTATAGGAAGGTGTGAGGGTGGGGGTTTTACGAGAGGCCGGAACGAATGAATCCAACAACACACAGTTCAAGTTCAACTATAATTGTTCTTTATTAAAATGATATATATGTTCAAGTTTCTACCTAACTGATCTACACTGTACTATTTACTTCTACTACTGACTGTTCATACCACATGCTACCTACTACTACGCACTCCCATGACCAATCCTAACACTAACTGTTCTCTACATTCTACAACCTAACACCTTCTATCTTCGCTAGCTAAACCTGATCTCCTAACTATCTACATTCTCGGCCGTCTCTGACCGCTACCTAACAACTCCTGGCCTATCGCTCTACTGCCCCACGCCTCAGTGGTCAGCTGACCGTCCCACGTGACCGGTCAGCCCTGTGCGCCCATTGGCCTCTCTAACCAACCAACTAGGCCTATAGTCTGTTTCTGCTAACCTATATCTGCTAAACATGTCTGACGTAATCTTGCGTCATCACATATCTCCCTCCCTTTCTGTAGCTGACAAATTATATTTTTCAGCGTCTGCTACTAATCTAATACATCAACAACTATCTACCTTACTACTGTATTCTATCCCTAACATCAATCATATCAATCAAATACAAAATGGGACAGCACAGTTTACAAAAACATAAAATCTTCTGTCTGTGTTCCTGAAAAAAAAATGTCATTGTTCTAGTTCTTGTGTAAGTATCCTGACGTCTGTGGTGTCTCTGCTTGCTAATGTATGTCTATGTTTCATGGTATGTGTGAATCCAATCATGTGTAACTCAGTTCTGGCTAGGTTGTCGTGTACTGGCCTTGAGCTAATCTTAGTAGAATGTGTAACTGGTTGAACGGGCTCTGAGAGCAGTGTAAGTGTATGTGTTATGTAATTGCTGGCGAGTTTTGATGTAAATTCCCGTGAGGCGGGTGTAGGCGTAACTTCGTTGGTCAATGTGATGACGCAACAATCTCATCTCAACGCTGGTTGAGACGTCCACGTAGAGTGATTATACGATGAACTGGAGCTGTCTGATGCGGTGGCGAACAATGACGTAACGTTCCGACGCTGGGAACTTGGACGATGGGTCTTCTACCCTTTGTATCTGCCGACGTAGGTGTACGTAGCTGGCGGTCTGTTATTCAACTCCAGTGCGGGGGCGAAGCGGTGGCGATGCGTCCGCTATCTTGACCAGGGCAATTCTCTGTTCGGCAGGGCTGTTCGCTGTCCAGGTAATTCAACGTAATCAGGGCTTCAGGTGGCGGCATTCTTTGAAGTGTCTGCTTCATCTCGTCTCATTCTGAATAGCGCTGGTGGGTCTGAAATTGTATTACGAGACCATGAGCAATGGTTTTACGTGACCATTTATTGCCCGCGCAGACAAGTATTCAGACAGAGGTACCTTCCATTAAAAAAAAACCTCAATCCCAAATTTATACGTGCTGAACACTTGTCTGGCGGCATAACAACATTGAGAAAATAACATTACAAATATAACATTACAAAAAATGACCAAATACAAAAAAATCAGTACACTCTAATCTAACAACAATCTGTAAAGCCTAATAAACACAATAGACGTAAACACTACTAGAGCTTAGAAATAGCTTCACAAAAAGAATAGACATGTAAGTGTATATAAGTAATCGTGCCGTTTCAAATCAACATTTGAACACGTAATCATATAGTGGAGCAGCTCTCACTATCTGACTTTTGACAAAAAAAAAACTGGCTGGCTTGACTTAATGACTGACTTCACTTTTGACTTCAGTAACTTGACTTATTTCACTTTGACTGACTTCACTTTGACTTCAGTAACCTGACTGACTTCAATTTAACGACTGATTTCCTCTGACGACTGACTTAATTAGACCTCTCTTACTGACTTCGACGACTTCACTTCAATTCAACTTAAAAGACTTCACTGACCGACTTAAACTTCGACGACTTAAACGTCTTCACTTTGACTTCAAAGACTTTTCCTTGACTTCAACTACTTCAATATGACTTCAAAGACTTCACTTTGACTTCAACTACTTCAATATGACTTCAAATAATTCACTTTGACTTCAACAATTTCAATATGACTTCAAAGACTTTAACTTTGACTTCAAAGATTTCAACGACATCACTTTGATTTCAAAGACTTCACTATAACTTCGACGATTTCACTTCTTCACTATGACCTCAACGACTTTAATATAACTTCAAAGACTTTTCTTTGACTGCAACATGACTTCAACTACGTCACTATGACCTCACTATGACTTCAACAACTTATTGACTGACTTGACTGACTTCAAATAACCTCTTTGACTTCAGTTTTAATTTATACTTCACTGACTTCAATAACACTATTGACTTCAGATTGACTACACTGACTTCTGACTGTACGACTTCACGTCGATTTCCTCGACTACTTAGATTAACACAAAAATACTCGACTTGACTTCACAATTATGTCCGTTGTTTAAAATCATTTATGGGGAAGGTCCGGGTCACATTCTTGATCATGGGGTTGATGTTCTAGGGCAGTTGCGTGTTATCTGTGTGCTGTACTTCCAGTTTCACTAATTCTAACGCTAACTCTGCTTTTGTTCTTGACATGTCTTACTATCTTGACTATCTTGTTTTCTAACTTATTCTCTACAAATGTTTCAACTTCTTCTCCTGTTTTGTCTAATGGTATGCCCTGTTTATAGCATTGAAACTCTGCCTCCATGGTTGTGTATGTGTATGTGTGTGTGTTGAGGAAAGTAACAAAACTAAGGCAACAGTGCGTAACAATAGAATGTGTAAGGCAGAAAAACCGCTGGCACAAACTATCCAGCACGGGTATAAACCCAAACGTTTAAAAAAAATGATGGAAGGTACTTATCTTTTTGGACATGGTGACTGTTCCCTTGTATTGGTAATCCACTCGTTCCGGTTGAAGAAACCCGCTGTTGTGTTGAGTTGAAGAAAGCTGTACACCAGATGTACTCCGTCATGAGTAACTGATATACTTTCTTTCCTGTCCTCGACCCGCGCTCCACCAGTTGTGAGGGTGGGGGTTTTACGATGCGAAACGAATGAATCCAACAACACACAGTTCAAGTTCAACTATAATTGTTCTTTATTAAAATGATATATATGTTCAAGTTTCTACCTAACTGATCTACACTGTACTATTTACTTCTACTACTGACTGTTCATACCACATGCTACCTACTACTACGCACTCCCATGACCAATCCTAACACTAACTGTTCTCTACATTCTACAACCTAACACCTTCTATCTTCGCTAGCTAAACCTGATCTCCTAACTATCTACATTCTCGGCCGTCTCTGACCGCTACCTAACAACTCCTGGCCTATCGCTCTACTGCCCCACGCCTCAGTGGTCAGCTGACCGTCCCACGTGACCGGTCAGCCCTGTGCGCCCATTGGCCTCTCTAACCAACCAACTAGGCCTATAGTCTGTTTCTGCTAACCTATATCTGCTAAACATGTCTGACGTAATCTTGCGTCATCACAGAAGGTAAGCCTCGCTGGTTTAATACTAGAGTTTTTGGTGTTTTATAGGAAGGTAGGCTTTGTTGGTTTAATACTAGAGCGTTTGGTGTTTTATAGGATGGTAGGCTTCGCTGTTTTACTACCCAAATGTTATCTGTGTTATCTGAAGGCAGATCGCTGTTTTACTACCAGAGAGATTATTGCGATATTTTAGAGTGAGCAGATATTTATTCATCAAGAATTACTTTACAAAAAAAACAGTTTCCATCCTACAAGGGTTCCACTCTATTAACATGGGAATGCAAGATTATTTTGAAATAATTAAAATTGTTATTTGCCTAATTACCTTAAAATTACAAAGAAATCTGCATGCAACACGCATGAGAGATATAGTTTGTTTTCTGTTAATGTCGTTGTATTTTCCTTCGTATGTCTTTTGTTTTTATGTAATTGATGTGTTTGATACTTTCTTGTTATAAACATGACATAGAAAAGATACTATTTTTTTTATAAATTATCGTTGGGTGAAAATTTAATAAAAAAAGTAAGGTTTCCTGATGGTCCATGGGGCAAGAGAAGTAGAGTCCATCTGTTTCTGTGACCTAGGCATATAAAGGGATAGTCTTTTCAGCATTATGCCAAGCTGTCTTTACTTTCCCTCAAGTGAGTTAGTTACCCATCAGAGGTGAGTGGACTGAGGAACGTTTTGCTGACGTCAACCCTGATTCGATCTCGAGACTGGATGTAAAGAATTATCCTATACTCAAATTTTTAAATCCTGCGATTTCATTTCTACTAACAATATTGATATACCTCATTATAGAAACTCTCCTCTGCTTCCGATGTACTGAATTTGGGCAGTCTTAATGAACTTTATGAAATGTGTATACGTCTAATTTTCTTTAAACAGATTCCGTCCACAATTTTTGTCTGAAGAACCCCACCGCCATCTTTCCCGATCCATCCAGATGTTCACTTTTCTACGATTGTTCACAATACAGTTGGCACCCATCTCTCAAGGTATGAGAACATCTCACTTTTTGTTAATGTTTTAATGTGGCACCCCTTTATCAAGATATGGGAACCTCTCATATGAGACCCTCCCATCTCTCCCAGAACAAGAACCTCTTGTCTTAATGATTCATTCATTATTGCCAACATCTCCATATTTTGTTGTCAACAGTGAATTGTTATATATGACACACATTTCTATTGGGTAAAGAGCGATTATTTGTTCATCAACGACTCATATATTTTAAAAACCAATTTGATTGTAATCAGTTGTCATTTTTTCTCTTAACTCAAGGTCTAAAGTCTAATCTCATAGCAGTCACTTTGTTATTGTATTCTAAAGGCGACCATACTTCAACACACTTTGTAACTATTGTCAGTCTTTAAAAAAAAAACAATTAACGTTTTTTCATGTTTTTTTTATCCTAATTCCCACACACCCGATCGCCTTCCACAAAACAAACCTTCACACCTTACACTTTGTTTTGTGAATTATTTTCTTACCTTGAGTTATTCACAATCTAAAACAAAAGTATATTTAAAAGAAGTTTTCTCTTAGAAATAGAACAATGTTATCGTATACTCAGTTAAGATTTATTTAAATTACAAACGTCAACAGGCATAACGTTAGCGCTAACATGTTTTCATGACACAGAATTTCGTGTTCTTCCGTTTTTTTTTAGACAGAGCTTACTTTAAACTCCGTTTACTTGAAATAAAGCTCAGGTGAAGGAAATGTGATGAATTTGTGCAATAACAACTGACAAATCTTTCATAAAACAAACCTTGTATGCATCTGCTTTATTTTTTGGTAAGGTGTGGTGGAAGATTTGTTGCCTAAAAGATAAACTGCACTCAGTGGCGTCACAAAGGGGTGCGACGCGTAAGGGGGGGGGGGACGAACCAGGTGACAACTTATAGGACTTGTAAGTAGGTCACAACTTCTTGTTCACGTACTTGCCACCTAGTAGATTTCGAGACCGTAGACTTACAAGCCTTATAAGGAGTGGCACAGAATCAAGCTATAGAAACAAATTACCTTTGAAAACAATGTTTTATCCAGTTAAAATTATAAAATAGAGCAGGCCAGGGGTGACACCAAACAAAAAATGCTAAAATCTCGGAAAGGTTTGGGATGGTGCATGATACCTGAACCTATGACGCATTGACTATACTTTAAAAAGATGTATTCTTTTTTTTGTATAGTTATTATTACGAAAATTCAAAGAATATTTGCAATAGATTAAATATTTTCTAAAATGCATTATCATTTGTCAAAAATTAAAATACTTCAAATTAAGTGAGCTTCAAAATAACAAGCAAATTAAGGCCCAAATGATTAATAAAATTAGAGCTTTATTTTTCTTAACATGTAGGTTAATTTAAATTACATTGGTTGCGCATTAAATAATGGACTCATTCTAGAGACCATCATTTTATTATTATATCTAAATATATTTTTAAAACTTATATTATAAAGTTTTTCATATTAATTTTGTTACATCTTTGAAACTATGATTTTTTTTTAATTGAAATATTAATTCGTTATTTAATTCTTTTAAAAATTAAATAGTACCATATTAGTTCTTTCTAATTCGTTCTTTCTTATTATAAGTCGACACACTACACAACTTAAAGTATTCGCTTTTATCTTTCGATTTCAACTCTAATTCTAATGGTCCAGCCCTGAAGGATTAGTAGTTTAGCTTTCTACCGCTAGGCTACGCTGTCCCGATTAAACTATTCAGAATTAACATTGTATATGCCTTTATCATTATCAGAAATTAATTTAGCTGGATTTGAGCTATCGCAAGCATTTTTCTCGTTAAAATTTTTCAATCTTTCTTTAAACCGATTTAATATCTACTTAGATTTAACTTTTGATATTCCTGTGTTGTTATCAGAAATTCTTTCAGCTAGAACGGAATAGCTGAAAGTTAAGTGCGTCAAAATGTTGTTAAAATTTTTGACCACAAACCCACAGACTTTTTTGAAGTAAAACCTTTTAAAAAAATTAAATTAAAAACTCCAGGTGCTACTAATTGTTGTATGTTAAGTGTTCACTTAAAAGAAAACAACAACAATGAGTTATATCAGTAGCAAAATTTAAAAAATCGTGATGACTATTTATACCGCCTGCTAAACTTGTGTAGAAACTTTACGTAATTACCGTCTTCGTGACACAAACACATTTCAATCTTCATTCGTCACCTTCTCACGATCGCCCGCCTCCCATTTTTTTTGTACTACCTGCTAGTGCGTCAGAGCGTGCAGATGGGGAGCGGGTATTTTTAGTTTGAATGACGTCAAGATATGATTTATTATTCCAAAGAGCGGTTCAAGTGAAATGGATTACTGTGTGGTGTTACCGGAAGTTTGTTAATTTACAAAGTGGAAATGTTGATGTTAGTTGTTACTTCCGGTGAACTTTTGGCGATTAAGTCAGGTCACGTGATGGTAGAAAGTTCAGATATAAAAAAAAGTTCAGAAATAAAGTACAGAATTTAAATATTCCGGATGTTTGTGACAAATGATTCTGTTTTGAAATTTTGTAAAAAAGGAAGCGAAAATCCAGTTATTCCTGATGCGCAACTGTCGCGCTGGTTAGCAAATGCAGTGGCGGCACTTATATATACATTTAATGTAAATTTTCTAAAAACAAACAATTAAAAAATAAAAAGAATAAAAAAACAAACAGCATTTTTTTTTAAATAGTGCACTAAATCCCTCTTACTCAATCCCTCCTTTCGATATACTGGATATTTCTTCTTCCATTTATAAAAAAATTAAACATGCATTCTTTATCCTTGACCTAAATGCAAATGACGTTACCTTTGTGTTGCAGCCCTATCAGACGGAGTGCGCCTATCCCAGGTTATTTGACCCCGAAACCTCGTCATGTGCCAGTTTTTTGGACGTTCGATGTGGCCGCAGGAAAGAAACCATCCAGCCTTGTAAGAACATGTTTTCATTTGATAACTGGGTTCACAACCAGCCTTGTAAGAACATGTTTTCATTGGTAAACTGGGTTCACAACCAACCTTGTAAGAACATGTTTTCATTTGATAACTGGGTTCACAACCAGCCTTGTAAGAACATGTTTTCTTTTGTAAACTGGGTTCACAACCAACCTTGTAAGAACAATGTTTTAATTTGTAAACTGGGTTCACATCCAGCCTTGTAAGAACATGTTTTCATTTGTAAACTGGGTTCACAACCAGCCTTGTAAGAACATGTTTTCATTGGTAAACTGGGTTCACAACCAACCTTGTAAGAACATGTTTTCATTTGTAAACTGGGTTCACAACCAGCCTTGTAAGAACATGTTTTCATTGGTAAACTGGGTTCACAACCAGCCTTGTAAGAACATGTTTTCATTTGTAAACTGGGTTCACAACCAACCTTGTAAGAACAATGTTTTAATTTGTTAACTGAGTTCACATCCAGCCTTGTAAGAACAATGTTTTAATTTGTAAACTGGGTTCATAAATAACCGAACTCACTTGGGTTTAAACGAGCAGTGGGTAGGGGAGAAAACAAGTGTTACGTAATTCTTGCCCATCTTAAAATAGTAATTTTAACACTATTTTAGCATTATTTCGCAATTTTATTAAATGTTTTTTGTTTTTTTATTTCCTATCGGATTTTTTTCTTTTTTCTTTTTTTTTTTGTGCTAATCACAAAAATGTATCAATGTAGGTAAGCCTATACACCCAGACTAAATAAAATTATTCAGCGATGGATACATTTTTTTTTTTTTTTAAAAAGGGGGTTGTCTTATTCGATTAAAGGACACATATTCCGCCCTGGAAGCAACCAACGCATTCGTCACAGATATCTTTCCAATCGCATCGATCGAGTGTCTAATACACTTTCTCTTCCAGGTGATTACATTGTCGGCCATTGTGTTGATGCGGGTTGCGTCCCTTGCGTGGCGTCCTGTCTGGGCCTGCGAGATGGCTCCAACGCCTACCCAGGTCGTGTGTTGACCGTGTCCTACCTTGTGTGCCAACGAGAGAGGACCATCGATATTAGGACATGCGCGGGAGGCTCTGTTTTTGATCCTCAGATGCGCACTTGCCTCAGTGAAATAAGTTCCGGTTAGTGGTTTACACTTCCTGTTTATTCATCTGTGCTGTTCAAAACTGAATTTTTAAGTAAACTAAACGTGATCCAACTAGAATGTAGGGGAGAATGTTTACACCAGTGTCCGATAATGGAATCTTCTTTAAAAAAGGGGTGTTAGGTTACTGGTAGTTAACTAAATTACCACATGGCTGGCTAATGTCAATGCTAACCCTGTCCCTAACCCTAACCTCAACCCTGGTCCACCCATACGCCTAACCCTAATTTCTAACCATAAACTAGTCAAGATTGCAATACTACTACTAACACCCCTTTTTTAAAGAAGATTCCATTTTCGGACACCGGTATCTATAATCATCCTGATAAAAATACAAAAAATCTCTTGTTCAGCAACCTTGGATATCTACTGTGCCAACAACCCTGATGGACGTCTGCTACACCCGAGTGAGTGTTCCATGTTCTACAGCTGTACTCAACACAACAACACACAGGTAAGGGGCTCATGTTAAACCTAATGTAACTTACCAAAGTATGAGATGTACAGAAGGGACTTAAGTAGATCTTGTACACATAATCTCGAATAGCGAGTTGAATTACCTCCCCTGACACACTCATTTATTCACTTAATGATTACTTTACATAACTTTTCTGTTTATCAGCTGCAATATAATTGCCACTGCTTTTTTTAGCCCAACATTGTTCTATGACTGTTCATATGACAATTTTAGGCTCTAATTAGCTGTTTAGACTCATTAGACCAACCCAAAAGCCCCCCAAAATGGAAGGTTTAAAGTAAAAATTTGTGTTTGTTTTGTTTGTAATAAACTTATGTTTATTTAATATTTAATATTTATTTATTATTTGCCTAACTTCTTTCCTTAGACCAACCCAAATCTCCCACCTAGAGCCATAGAATGCAAGTATCCCTACCTAGTGGATGCAGGGACTGTGATGTGCAAGCCTCACACACTGGTCAAATGTGGGGCGAGGAGGGAGCCATTTTCTCCTTGTAAGTTATTTAATTTGTAGATCTATATTATTCCAGGGAGCCATTTTCTCCTTGTAAGTTATTTAATTTGTAGATCTATATTATTCCAGGGAGCCATTTTCGTCTTGTAAGTTATTTAATTTGTAGATCTATATTATTCCAGGGAGCCATTTTCTCCTTGTAATTTATTTAATTTGTAGATCTATATTATTCCAGGGAGCCATTTTCTCCTTGTAAGTTACTTAATGTGTATTTTTTTCCAGTGAGCTATTTTCTTCTTGTAAATCATTAATTTTGTTCATTATTTCATGTAGTCATTTTCTACTTGTAAGTCGCTTGGTGTGTATATTATTCTAGGGAGCCATTTCTCTTTGTAACCTGTTCAGTGAGTATTTTATTCCACTGTCAGAAAATGAGAAATCACCAAAGGTGTATAGTTGGTGTGTATTTCTTAAAGTTTTACTAACACTCTTTTGTCCAGCAAATACACATTAAGAAAACGCAGAAAGTATCAACCATTCTTTGAGTATTTTAGTAATGTCCAACTATGTACTACACACAAAAATAGTAGTGTGTCTTTGTAGTAGTGAATTTGTTTTAAAGGAAACTTTAATGGTTGATTGATATCATTTACTCATATTTGTTAATTATTGTTACCAACACAACACTATGCTTTTGGATGAGTCATCTGTTAAATAATAAAATAAAATATACCTCATGCGCTAGATAATTCATCAAAACGCATTTTTAAAAAAAAATTGCATCATTAAGTGATTAGATTTCTATAATTAAGTTTTAATTAGTTAAATTATAAACATATTCCTTACAATATATTTTTTCCCCATCAGGTGACTATGTCAGTAACAGATGTACCAGTCAAGCCTGTACCAAATGTGAGCTAGTAATGCCTTCATGCTATGGCAAGGCAGATAACTACTACCCTGCTATCAATCAGGTAGAACGGCAGTGTTATTTTTCTTGGGAGAAAGCTATACATTATTACCATATTATAACCAATGTTCCCACTTAACTGCCCCGTTGCGCGGCTGAGCAGTAGTTTTGAGTTGCCGTGCAGTGATTTAGTAAAATAAATATATCCTTGTATAAGACTTAGAACAGTACGCACAGAAAATACATTTTGCACACTAGCTTTTCCCCCTTAGAGGGAACATTGCTTATAACCTCTAGTTTTCTATTTCTATCACTGTAAGTTTAAACCTAATGAATCTCCTCACATACTCCCATATTTTATTTAATTAGCCCAAAATTTCCTTGAAACATATGTATATCTTGGTAAACCATATGATTTTAAAATAGATTTTTGTACAACTGGCTTTAGTAATCGCAATGTCTTGCAGGAGATGACAGCACACTACATTGTGTGTAAAGATCAAAGAGTAATGGGAGCTGGAGTGTGTCCTAATGGCACAATCTTTGACATTCGAACTTTGACCTGCACAGATACTGTTTACCCTTGTGAGTCTATTTGTGACAGAGACATCCATCCACCTATTTACATTCACATTTTGAACTGTCATTGAATCAAATATTCTACTGTAATGTTAATTTTTTTTTAAACAGTTATTCAGAAAATTTCAAGCAACATTAAGTTCCCTTTCAGACCTGATGGTCATTATGATAAGTGAAGTAAAATTCATCTACTCGTATTTTGATATTATTACACCCAAAATTCTTTACTTAGCCTGACTTTAATCAAGTACCTCTCACACATAAATGACCTCAGTAATGTTAAGTGTTCTATAACAACAACACCACTCCATAACCTTATTGTAATTTAAATAATTTAAGATAAAGGTTTGATTGTATTGTAAATTATTTGGCTTTGGAAATATATTTTTGAAAGTTTAAAGCAACTTATTCTTAGCAACCCATAAATTAAACACCTATTTGATTTTGTTGCAAGTACCAGTTTTAAAATTTCAACATTATTTGTTCTGTTCTCCCAGTGTCACTGCTAGAGTTCTGCACCAATTATCACACAGGCCGGGTACAGAACCCATCCAACTGTGCCCAGTACTACGACTGTGCCACGTCTCTGACAGAGGTCACAGAGTGCACCTACCCTGACCTGTATGACGTCACATCTCACCTGTGTTTACCATACTCACAGGTCACCTGCGCTGGGAGACCAATTTTTTTAGATCCATGTAAGATTTTAACTAACGAGACAAAATACCTTCCAAAAGTTGATTTTTTTATTTGTTTCTATTTTAATATTAATGTAATTATCTTATAAATGTAAAAAATGTAGTTAAAGATGTAGGTAATAAGCAAATAGTTTTGCAAATAATAAGCCTACAATTTTTTACTTAAAAATGAACAGAGTAATTTTTGAAATTCTATTTACAAATGTCAGTTTTCACCTTAGGTCATTCTCTAGTTTTAAGAAAGTAATTTAGATTAAGCACCAATTTCTATCATCAATTTTCATTTCTCTTGCTGCATCAGGAGATCATCTTTCTTAGTGTTACTATTCAACTCAGACTATAGTTTTTAAACACTGTGTAGTAATTTTAATTGAATTTGCAATTATCTTTGTTTTTATCTTTCAGCTTGTTTAACTCAATAAAAATAATATTATTTAAGATAGAAAAGATATTTTTCTGTAATTTAATACAGAAACGTTAGTTAATTACAAGTTAAAACTGCCAATGCACAATATTATTGTTAATTTATTTTACATTTAAAATGTTTGTAAATTTTCATATTTTTATTCTCGTCAGGTGATAGTTTTACCTTCTGTCCTGTCCAGCCTTGCCCCTATTGTAACTCAGCATACCCTTCATGTGTTGGTCGCAATGGTGCAGTGGGTGGGTTCAGGTTCGAACCTTCCATGTATTACCAGTGTGTGAATGAAAGGCTGGTCTTGAAGTATTGCCAGACAACATTCAACTGGACAGCACGAGCTTGCAATGAACTTATCAGCCCAGGTACTTTTCATTAAAACTGTAGTGCTGGATTTCTTATTGCAAAATAAAAAATATTTATAAAATCAGTAAATTTATCAAATTTCTTTACTAAAGTACATTTTAAATCTTTAAAAATATTGTCCAATTACGTTTAATTGGTAAATAGTATTCAAAATATAAATTAAAAAAATTTTCTACATTTATACCAGAGATCTTTTAACATAAAACCTAATTTTAAATATAACTATTAATTAAATTAAACAATTAAATTCACATCTTCAGTTTCTGTCGTACAATGTGCTGGTGCCACAGTTTGTTGTTTACAAGCAATAATTGAATTTAAATAAAACAATTAAATAAAAAATTTTCAGTTTCCTTTGTACAATATGTGGCAACCACTGCTGCCCCTACAACTCTGCCACCAAGAACAACAACTACAAGTATTCCACCAACTGCAGGTAACTGTTATTTTGTTACTTCATCTCTATCTAGTTACAGATTGGTGTAATAAGTTAGTCTGCTGTAGTATTTTTTTTTTAAATACAGTTTTATATTATTAAGTACGACCGTTGTTGGCTAGGTGTTGGATATAAGGGTGCACATTTAAAGGTGGGTTTTTAATGTAGGTCCTAGATAATAGATGACTGGAATTTTAAGGTGTGGTATTAGTTGGAAGCTTGGTTAAAATCATCAGCATATACAAAATATTTTGTTATATAAGTAAGGTCTGTTTTTTAATTACATAAAATGGTTATTTGTTAATTGTTTTATTATTTAAAACTATAATAAATTAACTTACTTTAATATTAAAGATGTTTAAAAAATATTCAAATACGTATTTTATTTGAATTATATTCTAAAGAATGTCACATGATTTTAGCCACCATTGGGAATATTTGTAAAGCGACGCCGAGACAAGTCCTGACTAAAGATGATAACTGCGCTCAGTTTTACAACTGTTCCAAGCCAAGAAGTCCCCTAGGTCCATATGTTGACGAGTGTCCAGTGGGTAGCTTGTTCAACACAAAAACAAAAACCTGTCAGCCCTACAGTGAGGTTCAGTGTCTAGGCAGGCTTGAACCTAAACAAGCATGTAAGATTTTTAAAAACTAAATCTGATTTTTTAAAATTATTTATTTAGAGAAAAAATAAAACAATAGGTGAATAGGTGTCATTTGTTTATTCCAAAACAGTATACATTTTTTTTTTGGGGAGGGGGGGGGGGGCAATAAATTTTATAAAAGCTTAATTAAAGAAAATTTTAATAAAAAAGAAAATTCATATTCCCATGCTCTAAAAATTTGGAAATAATATCAGGAAAATAAAAAAATCTTCATTCTTCTACTGAAATATATTTTAAACTTTGAACAAAATAATATACAGCTATTGTGCCTATTGCCGTAGTGTTAGAAGAAAGTCAGGCAAGCTATATTAGTAGGGGTTCTTCAATGTATTACCAATCCTATTGTGCTTGGATCATATTCATCTTGGCACAGGTTTACCTACACTAATGCCCAGCACGCCTCATGGTATGCAGTGAGTGTACGCTAATCACCCACCGTAATAGTGAGGTTGAACAGACTTTGCCGACCACTCAGGTATCAGGGATGTAGAGGAGCGCGCCCAGAGTCCCTGATTACACTACCTTAGGGGCACCGCATACAACCACTGGCTTAATCATCGGCTGTTGTGTGCCACCATGTATAAATTGATTGGTGCTGCTTAAAAATAACTTTGGCGCCATAGTGCTCAATTGATAGCCCAGGGTGCCAAATCACACCCTACCATTGTGCCTGCGGATGTGCCTGATTCAATTTACTTAACGACTATAACACCCCATCTTATCCTTAGTCTATCCCATTGTTCAAAATGAATGTGGGCACCATAACACTCATGGGAAAGCCTGAATGCCAAATAGCACCCTGCCGGGGCTCCACTGTGCGAAATTTTAAAAAAATGTCAGCAGAAACCTCCACAGGAGTATTCACAGCAACTTCCCAACATGTCATGGCGATCAAATGAAAGGTGTAGTAATGCATTAAATACACACAAATAAACCCACAAATAAACATACTTTTCTTTTTATATATACAGATAAAGGAAATACAATGTGGCTTTATTTTCCCTCAGGTGATTATCAACCCAACTGTAACAGAACTGGCTCAGGATGCCCTGATTGTCTTCTGACTTTCCCATCATGCATCAATGTCACTAATGGCGTGGCCGCTCACTCTTCTGTCTTTCAATACTCCCAAGTTTACTGTAGGAATGGAAGAGTTGTTAATGCAACTTTGTGTCCAGCTGGTCAGTTTTATGATGGCATAAGGAAACAATGTTCTTCATTTATGAGTAATGGTAAGTGTCTGAATCTTTTTGTTGCTGTAGCATTGGTGTCTAAAAAATGTGAAAGTTTTTTTATGAAATGTAAATAAGAACGCATTCAATTTTTAAAGCTAATTCTCCTTCCTGAACACCTTAAGTAAAGTATCTTTTTTGACATGATGGTTTGTTTTTCAATTAAAATGCTTTTTTTGACACATTAAACAACATTATTAATCAACATTATTAATTATGTTTCCATGACGTTGATTAAGTCATAAAGCATTTGAAGGTCAAGTTTAGGTGTATTTAATATGTAAAAAAAACAAACAAAGTTTGGATCTAACTATCTATGGGCAGAGTTCACTTGTTTCTGTGACAATGACATATGAAGGAATATTGTGGTCATTACTATGCCCAGCCACCTTTACTTTCCCAAACATAAGTCAGGTACTCATTAGAGATGGGTTTACTCAGGGACATTCTATGGACCCAATCCCTAGATGCTAACTCCTGAATTGCTGGTTATCAGTTAAAGGGCTTACCATCCAACCAGACCGCCCGCCCCCATACTTTTTATGTTTATGAGCCACATGGCAATTGTCATTAAGTGTAGGGATGACAATTTCTTACATTTGTCATATTAAATATTCTCACTATGTATAACCACACTACAGTGTGTAATAAACAGTTACTTATTTTTTTACTTCAGATTTTATAAAGTCAGTGTGTAGGACTAGGTCAGACCAGCTTCTCACCCACCCTTTGAGCTGTGCTAAATATATCAAATGTGAGGCCACAAATCCAAGGAATGCTAGTAGCTTAAACTTTCAATTAAAAGAGTGTCCTTACCCGCTTCTGTTTCAAAATGGAATGTGTCTCAACTACAAGACTGTTCAGTGTGGTAGAAGAAAGCAAGCAATAGCACCATGTAAGTTACTTTGGATTATTTCGTGTAGAATGTTAATCAGATTATGTTTTTTTTAATTTAAATTTGTATTATTTACTAACTTAAGATAGCATTTAAAAATTTGAAATTAAAGTCTAAAGTTACTTTATTGCGCCATTTATGTTACCCATTCCAATAGAAATTGATAAACAAAAGTTCTAAGATAATAGGTATTATATGCAAACAATATCTACTTATATCAACATGTGCACAGAGAAACAAAACATCAATAAGATTATATCTCTCTTTCAATTATATACTACTAGGCATGCTGCCCAGCTTCGCTTAGGCTTTCGAAAACATTGAGAATTTGAATGCTTAATTAATTCGCCCGAAGGTCGGTCTACGACCTCAAGAGTTATGAAGAGGTTCCTCCGTGGACATTTTTTTTCGATTTATAGCTCATATAAGGTACCGGTCAGTCGAGGTCAGTTTTGACCCCCACATCGTAGACTTTTCGGCCAACCGGCCCCCGTGTTCTGTCGCACCAAGGCAAGATCATGCCAAATTTGAAGCGCCTGCGGCGCCGGGAAGTGCCCTATCGGACACCCGACAATCTAGATCTAGATCTAGATTCCTAAAAGAATTTTTTTTTTAAGTTTAGCCCGAGCATAATAAAAAAGAATACATTAACCAAGTTGACTTGCTGTGTCTCGAACCCGCACCACCTGCGTGGTTTAATGTACACTAACATCTCCGCTATTTAGGCACCTTATAAAATACGGAGAATGAAACACGTATTTTAAAATCTTAACTTACGCGAATATGCCTATTCTTTCAAATTAATTTTTTATCCCAAATTAGCCAGTTCCAAACAAAGATTTTGTATAAAATAAATAAGTCTTGAAATAGTTTAGTCCTAATATAGAAATTTATTTTTGGAATTGATTTTAGAGAAGTTAGTGTCTAAATCTAGATCTTAGCGTCTACGTCTAGATCTAGTTATTGCGTAGATTTAGATTTAGTCTAGATCTAGAATCTCTAGATCTAGAATCCAAATACATAAAATAAATTTTATGAGTTTAGGCCGGAAAAATTGTATTGTATACATTTCATAGTGTACGTAGATCTAAATCAAATTTGAATGAAATAGTTCATTTCTTTTCATTCTTAACACGGCAGATGACGTCATTAGTTAATGTATAAGCAATAGTGACGTCACAGTTTTATGCGTTCTTTTTCACATATATTAATGCTTTTCCGGTTGCATAAATAATACTGTTTCTCTACATTCGAATACGCCTTTAATTTTTATTTTTCTTCTTTAAGTAAAATTGTGGTTATACATTTAAAACATCTAACATATTATTTTCAACAAAAGTCCGTAAAAAGTTCTCCATATACCGCTGCCGATTCTGACGTGATGTCCGGCGAAAATTTTTTGCGGACAGAGAAAGAGAGAGAGAGAGAGAGAGAGATGTGCGCACATTGGGCTTTTATAAATTAGGATAATTTATTAAATCTTTAAAGTTAAAGACATGAATAATTAAATTTGTTTATTCTTTTTTTAACCTTGTAACAATAAATACTTTACATTAATTTAAAGTTTTAATGTTAACAATTTTACTATGTCTTGATGTAGGTGATTATGATGAACTTAGGAAATGTAAATTCAGTGACAGTTCTTGTCGCGTTAACTCTGCTGATACATGCCCTGATAAACATGAACTGACTTGCGTCCCTTGTGAGAAGAGATATCCATCTTGTATAGGTAAGTTTCCTTGAGACTGCTAATTCAATGGTATTGTGTTTGGATCTGAGGCTGAAGTTTGTAGAATGCCCCATTGTCCATTCTGCTTTCATGGGTACCTGACTCACATTAGGGAAACAAAGGCGGCTGGACATAGTGCTGACCACACTTCCCCTGTATGCTGAGTTCTTTGAAACAGATTAAATCTACTTCATCTGCTCCATGTGTCTTGGGCATGAATGGGATATGGTGATGAGATAATAATACGAAAGTTTAACTTGACTCACTTCGACAGCATAATATTAATTCATACACTTTAAATTGTTTTTATTGTTCCTTAAAGAAATTATAATACCTACATAGTCCAGAGAAAAAAGCTCAATACTAAGAAATGTATTTAAAAATGTATAATGTTTAAAGTAGCTTTCTTCATACTCATTCAATTTGAAAACAAGTGGTCATTTAAAAAAAACCTTACTACACCTTTATTTTCATTTATTTTTAAGGTTGACTATCTTATTACAACGCAACAAATATTACTTTATTATGTTTTTTTTATGTAACATTACAGTATTAAGTATTTGTCCTATTTGTCAGGTAGCCCTAATGGACTTGTGGCCTACCCTGGCAGGCTGTTTACACCTGATTTTGTCCGCTGTGATGAAGGCAGAACTCTTGCTATATTGAAGTGTGTCCAGTCTATGTTTGACCCAGATGCCAGAACATGTGGACTTAAACTGGACACAGGTTGGATTTTCATACATAATTTTAAAAGAAAAATATAAATTATTTTTTTTCATAATTTTAATCTTAACTATAAAATTGCTGCATAAACTTTTTGAACCAAAGATCTAGCACATCATCATTTAATTACTGTTTGGTCCATTAGTGCCTGAGAATTTGCGACATACTGAAATTAGCATCAAAATTACATGCAAATTTAAAAACAACAATATACCTCAAATTCAGTGTCAGTATGATGAGAGAAAATCAGCACAAATAATTTTTTAGACACTTGGAACATAATTCAGGCGTTAAGAGATTAATTAACCATTGAATTTTTTTGTGAACTCTACATGCATATTTTCTTCCACATTTTCCTTTAAAGCAATGACTAAAAATCCATCGTAAATATTAAAAAATAATTGACTTCTGTTTCCTACATTGACAGTAATGAAGCAGGTGCAACGGAATCCTGTCTCCTTCTGCCAACGCTACCCCACTGCTCTCATCCCACATGAAACCCACTGTGCCAGATTTTTTAACTGCTCAGCACCTGCCACCCCCGGCATTGAGGGGGTGGCGCACCTACAGGAGTGCCGACACCCAAAGCTTTTTGACAGCAACCAGAGGAGGTGTGAGAACTTTATAGAGGTTCTCAACACTGTTGGATGTGGCACCAAGATCCAGCCCAAGCATTTCTGTAAGTCTAGCTACAAGATTTCAATCATTGTTTCCTAAGAAGGCAAATCAGTAGATCTTCCTAAATAAATTTTGCAGAAAATTTTTTATTTTATTTCAAATTTTAAGCTAAAATAGTACATAAAGACACTTTTTGCTAATTTTAAAATTCTAGACAAATGTGTCTTTCCATCCCCCCCAATCTCTCCTCTCAAACAAAACATCTGCACATAACATACGCTCATTAAGCTAATCTATCAATTGAACAGTGAACAATAAAAACATAACAAGTTTACTTCCTCAATTTTACTCACATAGCTAGTTATATAAATATGTAATCTCCTACTTGTATTTTCAAGTTTTTCTTATAAAAAATAATACAATCTAAACTTTCACCTAACACACATTTAATTATTTTAAAAAAAATCATTTTCTGCACTATTACTTCACAATTATCTCTAGTGACATTGCACAGGAAGGGAAATAACTCAAAACATCTTGATGTACTAAAATTGTTCCCCTTATTTAGAAATAATATGAACAACTTAAATTTTATAAAATCAAATACCTTAAAAATGTTATATATTTTGTTAAAGCAGTATAAAAAAATGAATGAAAATGCAAATATATTGTGTAAATAAAATATAAATGAAAAAAACATATTTTTAACTCAGCAACTCTGTTTAAAAGTATATGCATAAACAATTTAAAATTTGATGCAATATGGCTAATGTTTGAAATTTTAATAAAATTCTCTAGATAACTACAAAATATTTTAATCTGCATATACAAGAGTATTTTATTTTATAATGTAATTATTTTGCCTGATTATGACGCTATCATGTTTATATTTTAATTTCAGTCTGCATGATATGGAATGTAGATACAAATAAGATAAAACATTTATAGTCATTTAATTAAAATATGGACATATATTTCTGGTTCCTAGTTCTCAGACTTCTTAATTTTATATCTAGATATATAATTTTATAATGTAATACTAAAATTATGCTAGGCAGAAATACATATTTTTTCTAAAATAATGCAAAAGAAATGTAAGCAAATTGATAAACTTTTATAATGTAATACTAAAATTATGCTAGGCAGAAAATATGTTTGTTTTTTCTAAAATAATGCAAAAGAAATGTAAATAAATTGATAAACTTTTATATTTGTAGGTGACTACGCATCATTGTGTCCCAGTCAACGGTTCAAAACATGTGATGACTGCAGGAGAGTTCTACCCAGCTGCAATAACCAGGTCAACGGTATCCACGGCAACCCCCCAGGACAAGCTTTAGCCTCAGGCTTCATGTACTGTGTGGAAGGAAGGGTGGTAGCCACTTCCCCCTGCCCCCACGGGTCAAAGTTCCAGGAGTCAGTTAAATCATGTGTGCCCCAAACCACACCGAAACGAAATGGGAAATAAAGAGGAAAATTATAAATGTATCCCAAATTTTATTGAGTCATTGCAATATTGGTTTCATAAATATGATTGGTGGAAAATGCATTTTTTTTAATATGATGGTATTAATATTTAAATTATTTATTTTGTAACAAATTTTAAAATTTTTTCAATGATGCTATTCTAATTTACAAGCATGTTTATTATTTTATTTTATTGGTAACTATTAAAAACTGCCAAACATGAAAAGTATTTGATTGTTATTTTGGCTTATTGTCTATACGTTGCCTACAAAACTAAATACTTTTTTTTTAACCCACAATCTTTAACTTTTAAAGCATAGTATCGTATATGTCTAATTTTGTTTTGTAACATAAAACTCAGATTTATTTTAAACTTAATGTAACATGCATACACCTCAGTCTTATTTTAAATTTGATTGTTTTATTCAATAATTAGACAATAGAATTTTGAAATATCAATCAGCAGAAATATCAACAATTCGGTCTACAGTTCGTGACAAAACAGCTTGTCTTTTGAGTATACGGGCCGAAAATTCATAAATTATGCGGCTTAACAGAAATATAAAATAAAATTATGCAGATTTTTGAGAAATCTGAAATACTGTCCCACTTCCTGTTATCGGAAATCACTAAAAAGCTTATGCAGACCTGCGTGTAAGTGTAAGACTAATTATACAATTTTTTTCATCTAAATGAAACCGGAAACTAATTTTGATTGTTCAGTTACAAAATTATCCAATGCCTTTATTTACATAATTAAGCTGGTTGGAGCATGGACTTAATACAGGCACAAGCCAAGCGCTCAATTTAGAGCCAAACTTTATTATTAAGATAGGTTTGAGTAATTGTTAAATAAACAGTATCTCTGTCTGAATAATACTATTTATTTAAATGCCTATAAATCTACTTTGATCATGAACGTTAAACAAATAATGAAACGTGATATCAGTCTTCCATCAAGTTACACATTTTTCGATTCAGCTCGTCTCTTTCTTTTTCTAATTCTTTCTTTTTCTTCGGGTCCTGTAAATAGAAAATACATTTAAGAAAACTCGAGGACTAAATACTTATTTCATTTTACAGTCATTAAGCAAAATAAAAAAACGAGTTTTTTTTTTATATCAAGCTGGTTCCTTTAAACACATTTACGATATCTAACTTAATAGGTGATACATAAATCCTAAAACGTGATATAGTAATTTTAGTACCGTTTAATAATGTTTTAGACATGTGATGAAGACTATGGAGTAGAGTAAACATTTTACCGTTATTCGTTCCAGTTCCGAAAAAATCGCTTTAAGTTGTTTGACCATTTGATTCATCGTTAGGTCTAACCGTGGCGAGGCATTCGTTTCTGATGAAATAGACCGATGTATGGTTGCGCTAAATGGCAGGATTGAAGGTTCTTTTAGGCTCATACCATACGCCTTAGGTCCAGCAAAACTGAAGCCCAAATAAAAGAAAACCGTTTTTTGAAACATTTCTGTCTTTGAAATGGCGTAAGCAGTTGGGATTGCCAGTTTAAAATCTTTAATGAAAACCTCCTTGCCACTTTGGAGAAGAGTCCCTGAAAACAGGGCTAAGTAATGTCTCAGTTCTGGGCGGTGCCATCGTTCTTGCATCGGAAACTTTTTGATAAAATCAATATTTTTGTAATACACCACGTCCATCAAAGGCACTCCACTGCCAAGATAAAATATGGTATTTTCTTTTTTTCGGCGTGTGCTTTCATTTGAAATACATTTGGTATATTTTTTATCAAATAAACTTTTCCACTTGGAAATAGCAGAAGCCAATTCAGGTGTGAAATTTACGTATTGTCTTCGCTTCGCAGTTGGGAAATTGTAAAACACAAAGTACAAAAAAGTCTCAAGTTTGAGTTGACTTTCTGATTGGTTATTATTGTAGCATTGCTTACTCCAGTCCTGTACATGTCGAAAGGTTAGCCAAGGAGGGATGCACTGATCCATCGAGAGAACAGTTATGGCATGAAGTAACGTGATTACAGTTTCAAAACTGCAGTTACCTACTTGCAAATTCTGAGTCATAAGTTGTAATATATCACTCAGCTCCTTCGTTTTACCAGTCTGTTTTAAATTAATCATTAAGAATAGAGAAGAGCCACCAAGTTGCCTTGCACGGCGAAGTCTGAATTCACATGCGTCATGTACATTCATGTTTGGAGGAACAGTATTTGATGTTTCGCCAAAGTAGTTATCAAGATTAACTTTCAATTCTATTAGGTTATTTTTATCAGTATTTGTTCTGCTTGGCTTACTATCCAAATTGGATTCTCTCTTAACATGTAAAAATTCATCCTCAAGGCGTCTCAGTGCATTTTTGGAATAATTCTCAAGATTTTTCAAAAACTGCATTTCCGTTTCTTTAAGAAATTCCAACCTCTTTGGCATAAAACTACGTTTTACTAATAATGTATGTAGAAGGTTATATTCATTAAAAGGCGGGCACATATGAAGTCCTTCCAGAAATAAAAGAATAGACCTGATTTCACCAAAGTAGCCCGCAAAGTTATTTTCCTCAAACGTCGAAGCCTCCTGCTCGCTAACTTCTTGACCTTTTCGAAAAGCAGGAATACATTTTTGAACCAATGTGAACAATCTGTGGATCTTTTCTTCATCGAATTTCTCATTCTTCAACGCCCTATCGGATGTAACCTCCTGAAACAACTGACTTTTAAATACTTGCCCGTACGTGTGGTATAAAAACGAATTATTAGGGTGAATATTGATTGCTTTACTTGCATATTCTTCTGCTTTTCCCCATTGCTTATCGTCAATATAAAATCTTGCAATCACTTGTGCAGTAAAGGCATCATTATTCAGTGAAAATAAACTTTCCATCAACTGTGCCGTATTTTCAACTCCTTCTTTTGCCTTCAGCTCGATGATAAATGTTGAGAACTCAGCTCTCCTCAAACCATCCTCTTTGAACTCCCTCTTTTTTATAATATTGGCAATAATGTTTTGAAGTTTCTTTGAATCATGAGTTTCATTCTCAAAAATACCACAGTACATAATCTCTTTCATAATATCAATTTCCTTTTGTCCAGTTCGTTCTTTCATTCTGTTTAAAATTTCACGGGCGATAATTTTGTTAAAAACCCTCAAAACATTTCTCGTTTTGTTTGTTTGTCTCCTGTTTGATGATACATTTAGCAACACTTTTACGGCTTGGCTGAGATTTGCTTCCCAATTCGGAGCTCTAGCCAGATACAGGGGAGAATGGTCAAACAATTTCGTTTGGAATTCAACGAAAAACCCATCTAAACAGGAGACAGGAATTTCTTTAAAATCAGGGTCGTATGTATTGAGAAAGGAAACAATTTTTAATAGCTTTACTTCATTTTCGTTTTTAACATCGTCAGAAAACTCTTTAATTACTTTCGAAACATAATCATGTTTAAAATTTTCTCTTAAGATGTTAAAAGAAATTAAAAACTTAGGATTAACGTTTTCGTGCTGGTTTTTCTGAAACATTGTTGTCAGAATGGCATGTTTTTGTTCAAACCAATCAAGCTCCCTGTCTGTAAGCTCTTGACGAACGGCAATCTGTTTGTCTTTTAACTGTTTCGGTAAAGATGCCTATCGAATACAAAGCAGAACTACTGCGTATATGTTATTTTTTTCATCACGATATCGAAAATAATTTCTGCTAATTTCCAGTAGCTTTCTTCTCAACTGCAAACATTTTTCTTCATCTTCATTATCAATCATAATTACAATCGGTTTAGGGGAATCGTCTTTGTACCTTTTGAATTGATCAATCTGTTCGCAAGTATGTTCTGTTATGGAATGGACTACACAGCACCTATATTCCGTCCGGAGTTCCCATAGTACATGCTTGGTTGATGTAGTTCCACCGGCTCCTGGTTGATGATATATTGAAATAGTGACAACTTCTTCATCAGTGTATCTATCTGTCAAAGCTTGTTTAACTATTGTTAAAAAATTGGCATGAATCTCTCTCTTTAACACTTGACCAGGGAACCAAAAGTTAAGCCAATCGACTTGGTCGCCTTTATAAAACTTTTCCTCCAACTCTTTCCGTTTGGATTCCTTCTCCTCTTCATTTAAACAAAAGTCCACGGAAGTTAAGACACCTAAATCGCGCCATTCTTCCAGTTTTTTCTCTCTGACTGGAATAAACCCGCCTGTAGAGCTGGCGAGATGGCATTCACGAAAATCAGTTTTCTTCACAGCCAAAGAAATAGTTGTATTGATTTGTTCCCAAGGCATCCCAACAACACATCTGTCTTCCAGGTCTTTAAGAGAAACTCGATTTCTTTGAAGAATAGTTTGTTTCCAATGGCTGGCTATTGCCTCACACTCGGCAAGGAGTATCCAGTTTTCTGGAAGTTTCCTAAGTAGTTCATCACACCCTTCCAACAAACATTCGTAGCTTTTAGAAAATAAGCATATAATAAGAATGATTCTATCTTTATCAAAATGCTTTAAAAAGCAGTTTATACATTCTTGAAAACCGTTACTTCTTTGTTGGTTCCAATCAGTAGGGGATAAGGGTTCCATGGACAAAGCTTCATACCCGTTGCAAAATACCCAAGGAGCTTTACTTTCATCTGCGATATATTCAACAGTTTTATTAAAATCTTCTTTGCTTGTTTTAGATTTATCAAAATTATCTGTTGTGTACACATTCATGTTTTCATTTAAAAACTTGTAAATTCCTTTATTAGAACCACTGGGGTCAAAATCAAAAACTACTTCCGGATGCAAATGTTTAATGAACGAAATGTTGGTTTGGATTGAACTTTCGTCAATGTCTGCGTCAATAGGGCTGTTGACGATGAAAGGAAAAATCGTATCTTGGATTAACTCCGGCACACCAGTTAGTAAATTTAAAAGCCGAATTCTCAAATTTGAAACAGGGGGCTCCTGTTGTTGCGATTCTTCAATCTTTCTTTGTTCAACTAGCTTTAAATGCTCTTTTTCATAGGCTGGCATCTCCTTCTGTGGTACCAATATAGGGAATCCCTCGTCTGAAAATTTAAACAGAGCAGATTCCTTTCCTCTACGCTTTTTCTTAAATATCGGAAGCAGCGCTAACTTTGTCCATATCGTTTCTTTCTCCAGAATGGAGCTAGATGCTACAATATCCACCTCAATAACCCACAGATTTTGTGTTCTTTCAAATTCGCTGACGACAGGTATAAAACATGCATCTCTTACTGTATTTCTTATT